CTCCATGAATTAGGTATGAGAGAGAGAGAGAGAGAGAGAGATGTTAATATAGGAATTAAATGTAAAATGTAATGTGCTTGCAATTAAAATATGTGCCTGAATAATTTACAATTTATTTAGATATAAAATTAAACACTTTTGATTGCATAACTATATAAAAGTGAGTTTGTTGAAATGTGATGGTAATTTAAAATAAATTAATGAAATGCTTCCTATCCTGTCATCTATGAACCACCAAATGAAATGGTTATTTAGCTATCGTTTATATATTCTAACTTTACTATATTCTTAATATGTGACCAATATTCTTAATTAAAATTCAACCTAGATTGTAGACAGACTATTGTATAATTAATACGTAAAGATACATTTACATTTATATGAGTACATATACGTATAAATGTAAATGTATGTATTTTATATTAATGTATGTTAACATTTTAATCAATAAATGATTTTAAAAACTATAACTTTATATTGAGTTAAAATTTAACATATAAATGGGTTTTAACAAAACATATCATTGCAGATGTCTGCCAATGATGTTCATTAAATATTAAATATCATTGGCAGACATCTGCATTATTTTAAATATTTATTAACAGTTGAGCAATGTAAAATTAAATTAAAAAATATGTGATAACTAAATAATTTATTTCATATTTTTAAATATTTCAAATACCTGAATAAACGATCGGGATCTTTTTTCTGTAATAAACCAACGCGGGCAATTCGTCGAGTCCTGAAAATAGCAATTTTTACCATTTGTATCAATATTCATACCATGTATAAACTACAAACAAATAAAACCATCATGCTAATATACATACCGTATTCGTAAGCGAGCTCTGGTTCCGATATTTTAACCTAAATAAAGTGGGAAAATAAGCATAAATTTAATCACAATACTAGACCCGAAGGGGCCATCATTAACCCCTAACCCCCCACCACTACAACTATGTAAAAACAATACATACAAAGCCAATGTTCTGTTGGTCGGCGTCGTCGTCAATCTCCTCCAATTCGTGCAATACTTTCTCACATTTCTTACAGTTTTGTTTGTCTTAAAAATTAATTAAAAATATAGTTTTTTATTCAAGTATAAATATTTAGCATGTACATAAATTGCTATATTTTTGGTAATTTTAAAATCGATATTTAAATGTTTTATTTAAAAAAATTTGTTTTTAAAAAATTTATTTATGTTTGTTCTAAAAGTGTTTGTATTTTTGATAAATTTTTTTTATTTGAAAAGTAATCAAATCAGTCTCTCTCTCTCTCTCTCTCTCTCTCTCTCTCTCTCT